TGGTATCCTTCTGGACAAATTGAAATTTGGACTAGGAAGCATAATATTGCATTGGTTCTTCTCTTTCCTCCAGGATTGGTTCCAGTCGATGTTGGTGGGGAGGAGAAAAGTTTCGACTTAGACTCCTCCTTTATGAGATGCTTCACTTTCTCCCCACTTTTGTTTAATATCTTCATGAAACTTCTTGGTAAGTTCATTTATTGGCACAAGATTAAACAACATTAGTATACAGATGAAACGCAATTGTATATCTCTTCCCCTGGCAGTTGTTCATCTCTGACCGTGTCACTCCATCAGAACCTTTCCCCATTATTGGGAAAGCTTTGGCTTAACTATAACAGGACCAAGTGGCTGTGACTTTGGGATCCTCTGAACACTGACCCAGAGATTTTCCATCTTTGGCAGGGTTTGTACTCCCCCATTCAGGATGGGTACATAATTTCAAGCTTGTCCTGGAGTCATGACTCCTCAGCTCCACAGAAAGACTCAGAATAACTTTTATTGATATTGGCTATAATAACAGAATCTTGCAAATCTGCCACAACATCCTCACGGTGACACAGTCACCGCTTTTTGAGTGTTTGGCAACCGGCTCACATTTATGATCGTTTGTAGTGTCCTGCTGTCCACATGATCACATTTTACTACGTTTTCCAACAAACACCACTCATTGGATAAAATGGATTTGCACTTACGACCATGTAGTTCACTGAACGGTAGCACGATTCGTTTAACAATCACACTGACTCACTTAACCATTGTTAAAATCGTTCTAAATCTGAGTGTGATCACGTGGTGTCTTGACTTACAACCACAACTATTTATGATGTAAGTCAAGGACCCTCTGCATCTCTACATGCCTGAGGTCATGGTGATGTCTCTACCTGACTTCTTCACCTTGCAGAACTTAGTGCCTCCATCTCTCATTTGCTCTCGGTTAAAGGGTCTATAATACAACCACCTAGTAGGAAAGCTGCCTGGATTTAGCTTTTAGATACTGGCCAGTCTGATTTTCTGTCCTTTCTTCCATACACTCATCTTCCCATTCTTCACACCATCCCCACTCTTACCCAATAGTTAGTGTTTCCCATTCAAACCAGCCAGACACTCCCCCTGCCTCCTTTCCCCCCCCCCTCCACTCAGTCTTTCACACACAAGGGGGCTAATGGTTTTCCTAGCTCTTCCCCAGATTAAACTTGCTGACTCAGTGGCATGAGAAATCCCTGTGCAATAAGCCTTCAGCTAGGTTTAACATACAGTACTTTATAAAGGTTAAACACCTCCTCTTCACTAAAATCAGTAAAAGAATGGAATAATCTCACAAACATTGGTGTCATAGCCCAGACTTATCTCATCCCCTTTGCACTTTGGCCCTTAGTCCCCTGCACTCATTTTGTTGGGTCCCATCCCAAAAGTTTGCTCAATCTTTCTCTGAGCTGAAAGCTTAGGTTTCTTGTTCCTACTGTACATGATTAATTTCCACCTTAGTAAATTTCAGGTCTGTCGTGATGATATTCTAATCAGATTGTGCCATTGCATATGATATCGAAGCTATTATACACTAAATGCAGACTTTGTGCTTGTTCAGATCTTCTCTCCCTTTTATATTCTTGTTGTTTATTTCTTCTTCCTAAAATGTTCTGTATGCTATTAGGTCTGGAAACAAGAATTAACTTTCTTTCTAGACAATCTTTCTCAAATTTAGTCATCCAATTATGTTGGACTAGAGCACAAATCCACTCCTGTCAACACATTATTCAGTTAGAAATTATGAAAATTGTAATCTAACACCTCTGGAGAACACCAGCTTGCAGATAGTAGTCAAACTATATTTCTTGCATTGTCCGGAAGAAACATAACAGAGATTTTTTTTTCCTCCTGTATTATGAGACAGAACTTTATTCAATGAACATTTTATTGTCACTATAAAATGTAGTGTTCCACAGATGAAACGTTTGTGCAATGCAATTCAATAAATAAAGTTATATAAACAAAGAAATCAAATGGGGAAAGTATTTTACAAAGCACAAAATACTGCATTCCATCTTAAAGTACAGTTTACACATCCTTACATTTAAATTTAAATGAGTTTTTTTGATCCATTTATCATACAACACAAACCTAATTATCTAGATACTGGCTAATCTTAGAAATTCTGAAGAATGATCCTACTTAGAAAGAGATAGGAACGCTACAGATGGATCAATGGGAAAGAATGTGGCTGGAAGGACTAATATTCACACTGGCTTATAATTTAAAAGAGAGTTTTTATTAAATGATGTATTGTTGATGTATGTCACCATAAAAATTACTTCAGGCGTATAAGGTATTTCTAATTGTTGGAAATGTGAAAAGCCTGAAGAGACATGCTTGGTTTTGTGAGGAAAAAAAATTGAACACAAATACATATGAGACTGCAGAAAGTTTTAAAAATTAACATTCAGATGAAACCAGAATTTTTCTTATTAGGACTTAAGGACAATCAATTAGAAAATACTTATGGACAATTAGTTTTACTTATCATAACTGCAGCCAGATTATTATTAGCACAAAGATGGCAGAATTCAAAAATAACCACAAAGATGGCGCAACTTGCAGAAATGGCTACATTGACTTGTTTTATTATGGAGAGAACAAAAACTGTTCTTTATAAAACAGCGGTCCCACACCTTTCCAGTAACATGGACTGGTATAGCAGCAGTGGTGGTAGCGACAGTGGCAACAGGAGGAGGGGGATGGTTTTATGCCTGCAACCTAGCTCCTGCGCATACCCAAATGAAGTGTTGTGCACATATCCACCACTTGCATGGTCCTGTTCCCATCACACTGCGGACTGGTACCAGTTGGTGGCTCAGGGATTGAGAACTCCTGTTATAAAAGACTGGAAAGCCTTTATGAGCTTTTTGTTGAAAAAGTATAGAAACGACCTGATGATTTCTGGATCTGACGATTTCTGGATTATGGGCAGAAGGGAACCATATTATCTAATTTAGAAGTCAAAAACAGTTTTAAGTAGGTCTACAACTGCTGTAAAGAAGATGAGAAATTGCTTCTTTAAGTTTGTTTTGTTCTTCACTTTCTATTGTTTTCAGCATTGTTTTTTTACCTTTCTTACTTTCTCCTACATTTTTTTATATTTATCTTTTAACTTTGTAAAAAAACTTCTTTAATAAAAATTATTTTAAAAATGGGGGGAGTGGGTTGCAGAACAAACCTATACATTGCAAAACACATCCATCAGGAAAAGACAGGTAACTTAGGATACTACAAATTTTAGTCTATAACACAAAAGTATGCACATTTGTGGTTCCAAAGGTGCTATTTAATCAACCAATCCGAATAGAGCTGGAAGGGATCTTGGAGGTCTTCTAGTCCAACTGCCTGCTCAAGCTGGAGACCTTCATAAATCTGAAATTCATAAATGGTCTTTTCTTTCTTTTGTATTTGGGATCCAAAGAAAGCTCAGCAATTGAAGGCAGCAGTTGCTGCTGCTCCAGCTTCCTTTCACTAGTACTGACCAGCAGTTGGAAAACCCAGGGGTTTTATATGTGCCAGAGTGTGGATCTTAGCCAGTTCCTAAATACACCCACCAATTAAAAAACTGTTAAGTGGTGGTCACTTGGGAAGAAGCCTCGTAAACATCCTTCTCTGGAAAAGCAGGGCCAAGTGACAGTAGCCACCTCACTGTGCAGCTCCTACGAATCGGGACTATTTCAAAGCAGCCATTGACATTTGTGGCTTCAGATCAATGCTTCATTCGGAAGCACTGAGTAAAATCAAAGTGCTAAGTTCCTACTTAGTATGGCTCAAAGAGCGGCAGTGGCTGCCAACAGGAACGTATATTAGGAGGCCCAGGGATACCGGAGGGCACTTTGCCAAAAACCATTTTAAATCTGAAGCCAGCTACACAGCCAAGTATCTCTCCCAAAAAAGTGCCGTTCAGTGAGCTCATAAATTGGGACAGATGAGTAGTTTCTTTTTACCTACTAGAGTATATATATCACAGCTGTGCTTAATTCCTGTTTAAGCTTCCTTGCCAGTTAATAAAGGTCAGCCCTACCATCTGCCTCAGGCAGCAGAGCCATTAAGGGAGACAAATTGTCTGTTATTTAATTTATCATTACATATACACAGATATACATATACCTAGGTATTTCTCGCTGGGGAGATCCCGAGAGCAGTGGGTGGCAGCTTGGATTTTCAGCATCAGGCAGCAAACGTTTTTGAACAAATCATGCAGCTAGTTGTTGCACATTGCAAAACAATATATCATCCGATGCAAAAACTGTAAGTCTTAAACTCCCCTAAACTCAGTTATTTACGGGCTTCTGGCACCAAACCCCACCAAATAAAGACGAAATACAAAACAAACAAAAAAAAAGAGCAAGCCTGCCAGTATGGTCAGCTACCAGAACGTTTAGCCATCTCGCTAATGCAATCAGTGTTTTTGCGGACTTCTGCTTTGTCATGAGCCAATTGCATTTATTATCTAATTCCTTTCTTCCTTTTGCATTTTAGGGAATGACAATATAAGTTTTGTTTTTAAAGTAAGACCGTTGATCGGGAGTAATTGTACTCTATCTTACAGATCAGTGCTAACTAACATAATGGGGTGAAATTGTTAACTCAAAAGTAAATAAATAAATTACTGATTACTTAGAACTTCTGTAAAGCTTAGCATGATTGCAAGAGCCTCAGGAATCACTCAGAGAACAGGGAGAGGCAGATCCAATCCGTCCTTAAGCCTGGCCTCAATTTGAGCTGATTCCAATTCCATTTGAGCAGCTTCAAAAAGAGGTATTAGAGCTCTGTTCTAATCACCTCAAGACTGATTTCCATCTTTCACCTTTTCCACTTCCTAACTAAATAATAATAATAATAAGGAAAAAGCCCCCACCTAACCCTGGAGAACAGGAGGAAGCATCAGACAGCAGGCAATTCATTCCATTTGAATAAGTCTGTATAAAGAATGCCGGGGATGATGGGGCTTGCCCCTAAAATATAAAAAGCACAGTTGTTTATTTTCTATTGAGAAAGGAAATACATAGCAATGCCTTTCTTGGATACATTTTAATCTGTATGAATCTATTGCCAGCTGTTATCTACCCCCAAAGGTTGGTAACAATATTTTGTATTACTATTGTTGTTTGATTAAAGTAGAGTCAGTTTGGTCTAGTAGCTATGGTGCCAGTCTGGAAACCAGGAGATTCTGAGTTCTAGTTATGCTTTAGGCGTGAAAAACTGGCTGGGTGACTTGGAGCCAGTGACTCTCTTTCAGCTGTTGTGGGGAAAATGAGAGAAGGAAGGAGTATTAGGTATGTTCACTGCCTTGAGTTATTTGTAAACAGTAATAAAGGGGGGATAAAAATCAAATAAATAAAAGGACTAATGACATGAAAGAGGTAGATACAATTCAGGTCATTGGGCTTATCTATTGTTTCTTCTCAAGCTGTAGGAATGAATTTATTCATCTCAGTGGACATTGCAGTATACTCAAGAGTATACTAGATAAGCAAATTCTTCATTATATTACATAAAACAAAGAGATCTAGTGGATTTGGCTTTCCAGTTTGTTTCCAGTGTTTTTTGAAATATACAGCCTATGTAACTGAACAACACATGCAGTATAATCTATGTAGCTTGGAGAATATATGGGTTAACCATCTTATGTGTTAAATCCTATGCTCAGTGTTTAGTCACTGTTGTCACATTGGCAGTTTTGAGCCAGGTATAGAGTAGAGACAAGGCAGAGAGCTAGGAATGGCAGAGGAAGTGCCAACAGCTGGGGCTGATTTGCCAATGACAAATTCCATATGTGAATTATACACAGTAAAAAGTAGTATTTTCTCACATCCACTGAGCTTCTTTGGATGATCCATGATTCTAGTATTAGGCAAAGACATTGATTTCCCTTGTTACATTTTTATTTATCTTGTTTTTGTTTGAGAGACAGAGAGAGGGAGGGAGGGGGGAGGGAGGGAGGGAGGGAGGGAGGGAGGGAGGGAGGGAGAGAGAGGGGGGGGGGAGAGAGATGCCCTGAGTCAGTCTGGGTAGCACACATATTAGGCACATCCACCCTTCCCTCTTTTTCTAAATAAGAGCTTCAAGTGCACCTTTTTCAGTAATTGGTGGCGCAGTGGTTACAATGCAGTATTGCAGGCTAACTTTGCATTCCCACTGCATCCCCAGTTTGATCCTGACCGGCTCAAGTTTCACTCAGCCTTCCATCCTTCTGAGGTCAGTAAAATGAGGACTCAGATTGTTAGAGGCAATATGCTGATTCTGTAAACCACTTACAGAAGGCTGCAAAGCACTATGCAGCAATATATAAGTCTAGGTGCTATTGCTACTGCTATTGCTAATTCGGCTTGTCTCATACACAGTGTTCTAAGTGTGGTTACATCATAGATCTCTGCAAAGACATTCCAATATTGTTAATTTTGCTTTCAAATCTTTTTACCACATTGGATTTCAGTGTCCATCACTGGGCCCATTTCTTTGTGATAGCAAGAAATCACGTTAAATAATACTCAACCCTTGGCAATGTCACTATTTTTTCTAAATATTTACATTACACTTTTTATATTAATCTATAACCACTTTTGTAATTAACATATTATTATTGATTGGAAGAGTTACAGAAGAAACATATCTATTTTATATTGCTTAAATTGCATTTTATAAAGAGATAAACATTGAGCTGATGACCCACATTTTTTTGCTGCTGAATTCTGGTAGTGCTGTCCAAGGGTTTTTGTAAGAGGAATAAATAGAACTGTGGGATACATGTGACATATGGACCAAAGAAGATACTTTGAGGAATGTATTGTTTGGTTTTTATAAATAAGGGATTCTTTTCTTCTGTGGAGATTTAGGTCTCCACAGAACCAGCAAGAAATCAGGAGCCAGAGTTAGGTCCAAAATAAGTATAAGTTTATTCCATGCTACTTCTAAACAAGAATCTGAACTACTAACAGTCAAGGGAAATGAAAGACTTCAATGGAATTCAAGGAATTCAATGGAATTTAAGGAAGCTTTTGATGTTTTATGGGCACAAAGGGACTTCAAATTGATGGTTTGGCTCAACCTGGTCATCTCCTGCAGATAGGCTAATTAAAGTAATGAATGTTTGGAAGGAGATTACAAAATGTGTTCAAGAAGTGCTCCTAGGAAAACATGTGTTTCTTTTCTGCTATAAACACTGAGCAGTTCAATAGCTGAGATTACAAACTGATTAGAACCCTAGAACATTTGACTGCTTGCAAAGCAATTGATATAGTTTATTAAATAAATGCTGGTCATGTGTGATATATATGCATTTAGATGGTACGTTAGACTTTTAAAACTCTCTGTCTAGTGGAATACATTAGCCTCGCTTTTCTGTTTACGTCTTTGCGACACCATGGAAACACAGTGCTCCCTCCTAATGGGTCTCCCCAGTGTTAAAAAAAAAAAAAACCACAGGCTTTGTATATTTGGTTTTCATGTCTCCTTTTGTGTACAATTTACCATTTCAGTAAGAAAACTGATCATCCCCTCTCCTCCTCCTAATTCTGCTGACTGAATGGAGGAGAATAAAAGTAAAGATAAATAGAAGGCTCACCTTCCAGTGGCCATTACTAATTCATCATAATGCTGACAAGATCAGCAGCCTACTGGAAGCAAGCAGCAACTTGCACAGAGGTTACTCTCCAGATTTTAAAAAGCCCTGGCTATAATTAACCTTGAGACCACAGTTCTTTAGGTAAATTGTAGTAAAACCCAAAGAACACTTAATATTGGTGCTCAGATGGGGAGCTGATATAAAATAGAGACTTCCACACTGCTGCCTGCTCCCTTCCAAATCCAACAGCCTATTGGCAGGCTTGTTTTATAGACACTGTAATGACTTTCATTTCCTTTAAACTGCTCTTCCACAGCTATGACACTCTCCCGCTTTGCCTGCTTGAAAGCTTATTAGAGCAGACCAAGGAAATCATCCTTTCCACATCACCCAAACAATCCAGGAACAAGGTGAGCACGAGACATACTGTGACACAGCAGCCTACAGCACTGGCTTGCCATCTGGCACCTGCTGGGGTCTCTGCCCAAAATGAATAAAGTTGTCAGGATATTGTGCCGTAATGCAAAGAACAGAGAAAACGGATCATTATCCATGAGGAGAAATGGGCAATTTAATTAGACAGTTCAAACCTTCACTAAATCAGAAAGAAGCAGACTCCTCAGTCACAAAGAGCAGTCAGGTGATCTCCTTGAACCATTCAGCACATGCTGAAATTCGGGAGAGTTTCTGAGGATTGGTCCAGTATTTTTAAAGTACGCCGCTTCAGATAGGTGTACTGTCCTGCATAATAATTTTCCCATTATATTTCAAGAACAATGAGGGTTCTACAGAAGCCTCTTATGATCTCTCGGTTAGATGGTTAATAATGGCAGGTGGTAAGCTTTCACTGAAGAATATTTCTTGGATATTTGGAGGTTCACTTCAAAATGCTCTAAATGGTTTGTGATGTAGTGTTGGAAGAACTGACTGTGAGAAAGAGGCAGAGCCAACCTCTCTGGCTGCTACTTCTCAATTCTTCCCTAGTCACAGATCAACTTTTAATCAGGATTGGAGGTGCCATGGGCTAACTTTTCCCCAGATAACTGAGCAAATCCAGCTTCTTTTCCATTTATGTTTCCTTATATCTTGCAATGTCCCAGTTATAAATTAGTCAAAGCATGTGTAACATTGTAGTACAGCTGGGATGTGAGAAGGAGCTAATTAAGTTCCCAAAACCATTTTGTCAAAAACACAAAATTAAGTGGTATATACAAAGAAAATTAAGATGTGGAGACTGAGAGAATGGAAGAAAGACAGAGAGATGCAGAGGAATAATGCTAAAATAGGCAGTTATTAAAGATGCTGTAGTAACTTTTGGGATAACAGTTGTGCTTGGCCTTTAGTATCATGGGGATTGTATTCCAAAACCAAAGAATGGATAGAGTCAAAACCAAAGATAAATAGGACTTTCTGAATGTATTTTTAATTACATTTACAATAATTTAAATCGAGATAGCTAATAACATTGCTTCCAGGAATTTACTAATTTCCTTTGTATCTCCTTAAAAAGGCTTTTTAGAAGTCACATATATCCTTGGAGCCTCAGTTGTATCTCAATAGAGATACAAGCAGAACAACATCCATGGATCCACAGGGCAAGTCACAAACTAGTCCATGAGTTTACTCATTTGAAGTCAATTTAACCAAATCCATTTCTTCTCTTTATTGATCAGCCATTGCTGCTTGTGTTACATACAATAAACCTTCCTTCACAACATATGGCATCTTAAATTAAAAGCTTTCATTGATAATATCTTTTTGTTTGTTTATTTGTTTGTTTGTTTTGAAGGGGGAAGTGTTCTATTATAGCTTCTACAGATACCAATCTCTAAATTCTGGATGCTGTCAAAATAAACATTTGCCCTTTCTGAGGCTCTTATAACCACACAGACAGACTTTGTTTTCAATTCAGCTCATCCTCCATCTTCACTTTCTATTTATCAGAAAAGGCTTGGATGTCACTGAAGCATTTTAGATAAATTGATTTTTACTGTACTAAATTCCCCCTCCACATTTCAGTCTCCACCTCAGCTACAGAAACAAATTATGCTCTTTTTTCTTATTCTGCTTCCCCACACACACATACACACTATGTTTAACACCTCTGAGACACAAGGCCAAATGTGGTACAGAAGATTTTGAAAACCTGTGGTATCTCAGAAGTACCTGCCAAGTACCTGTCTGTTTATTCCCTTTGAATGACATGTATATTTGTGAAATGGAACAGATCCATCAAGAACCTTAATATCTGGGCTACAAAAATCTTCACAACCACTAGAAACACATTTGTACCTTTTAGATATAATGTAGTAATCATCCATATTTTTGCATATTTTGCTCATCCATCTAAATTTATTCTGTCATAATCTATAGTTACTAGTTTTTCTTCTTACCTAGGAAATCCATGTTTGATACATTGTACCATGGAAGTCAATCAAATCACTATACTGTATTTTTATCTAAGGCCTAGCATAGAATGTGCATACATCTCCAGTGGCTTTCAGTACAAAAACTTAAAATATCCACACTCACGTGCATATATATAAATGCATACACAAATTTCTTATTCCTCATTCAAATAGGCCTGATGCCAACACAAATTGTCTTGTATCAAGCAATGCTTCTTAAAAGTAGCAGCATTTGATCCTTAAAATCTGAAACTTACACTACTGATG